AATTAGCTGGATGATAAAACAGGAAGGGAAGATGGCAGATAATCAGGTTTTCTGGAGTAAAGATCATGAGTCCAGTTTCAAACTCACTCAGTTTGAGTTCCTTCAAGACATCTAAGTGAGGTTATCCAGCAGAAAGACATATAGGTCTGGAGCTCAGGAGAAAAATCCTGGGGAGCTGTCAATATAAAAATGCTCAACAAAGACATAAAAATGGAGTGAAAGCTCTGGGGTGGAAAAAGAAAAAAAAAGGCAAAGCCCCAACGAATGCCAACACTGAGCAACAAGCAAAAGAGGTCCCCTGGCAAAGGGGACCACAGAAGCAAAACCAGGAATGAGGCACTGCAGAGCAATGGAGAAAACAGCCAATGACATCAAATAGTGCTGAGAGATCAAGCAAATGAAAGGTCAAAAACAGACTCTAGGTCTGGTTAAAAAAAAAAAAAAAAAAAGATGTCATTAGTGACAGTGACAAGAACAGTTCTGTTGGAGATGGGTGAAATATGATTACAGTGAAGTAAGTGATGGGAGATGGGAAGGAAACAATGAGTACAAACAGTCTTTTTAATAAGTCTGGCTGTGAAGGAAAAGCAAGCAGTTGAAAGGAGGATGAGGTCAACAGAGGGCTGTTTTAGGATAGATAGGATTTGAGACAATATAAATACTGCAAAGAAGAAGTCAGTAGATAGAAAAATTTGAAAGTAAAGTAAATAGAGAAGCAGGAGATGGGATCCAGAACACAGATGGAAGGCTGGGCCTTGTCTAGGAAGAAAGCACACCTCTTCCATTAAAACAGCAGAGAGGAGAAGTAAAAGTATGTTGAGTGCAGATATGTTTTACAGACTTGGTGGCAGAAAGTTAAGGAAGGTCCTATTGTATGGTTTCTATTTCCTTTGTGAAGTAGAAAGTGAGGTCACCTGTCAAGAAAGATGAGGTCAGGACTCAGAGAAATAGTCCTAGCGGAGAAGAACAGAGACAGCTAACTAAGGAAACATAAAAGGAATGCTGGGAAATGTTTAGGGTCCACTCAAATCGATGACCACATGTCTGTGTGATTTCCTCTGGTAACAGTCACAAACTATGAATGCGATTTAGTATGTATGTTTCATACTGGATAATCTAAATGAAAAGCAACAGTTCAAATGAATATAACAGAAACAACAAAAACAGAAAAGTTGCCTATTTTCCTTCCTAATACTCCCTGTAAAATAAGATGTAATTCTCAATGATATACATATAGGATGATGGCTGAAAGATTTATACGGAGCCAACAAATAGACAGGAATATGTCTAACATTAACATGCTTTTCCAATGGAAACAGGAAATTCCAGAAGACTGTATGAATAATAGTTTATAAATTTGGTACAAGTGGATATTTTTAAATCTAGTTTCTAAGAAATAAGCTATAAACATTAATAAAAATAAACTACATTCCCTTTCACCCATCCTTCCTGCACCTCCACGTGAACGTGAATGGACTCTTCAACCCTTGGTGACAACCCTGTTATGTTACCTCACCTGAACTTTGAGAATGTCTGGGAAAGAGGTCTACTGGCTCTCAGGTTATGATATTTTCATCTCATTTCATCCAGAATTTTTAAAACGTTATCATTATTATAACTCAAAGCAATTAAAAAATACATTCAAGTTTAATTTACAACCAAGAGACAGGTGAACTAAAATCATGTTGGCACTAAAATGCTCACCTATAATAATTCTAAGGGTAACCACTGCTAGTGGTTTTGTATATTGTCTTTCTTATACTTAAGTACGTATGTGTTTATTAAGTATGTATGTATTTAAAGAATAAAATCTGAATTATGCTGCATGGTTTTAAAATCCAGTTCTTTGTTTAATATTTATTATATGCCTATCACCCAATATTCTGCAAAAACATAATCACAATGACTATGTAAGAGTTTCTTTTGGGGGAAGAATTAGGAAGAATTCAAGAAAAAAATCAATTACTATTAGACAAAACAATCCTCTTCCTCCAACAGTTATCCCCTGTTACTCTTTGCCATTTTTAATTCGATTAGGAACAGACAGAAAACAACTTACCCTCTAGTTCTCACAACGGTCTTTTCATATTTAAACAGATTCATAAATAAGGAAGGAAAAATGTTATATTCTTTACTTGGATTTTTTTTTAACTGCAGAAAGTGTGTCAAACATCATACTCTGATTTAAAAGTAAACAGTCTTAAATTATATATTTCTTAGTTTTTGCCACTTTGACCAACTGGACACATATACTCTTTTGTTTAGATACTATCAGAAAGCTACCCAAAGTTAAAAGTTTTCATTAAAATAGCAAAAGCTAGTTTGGAAACAAACATAAATGATATCCTAACCCATGCTACAGGGGGAGAAGAGGAAAAATACATCTAACAAATGAAATGTCTCTAAAAATAAACTATGATCACACTTCATTTTTAACTATGGAAGTTTTTCTAAAGGCAGAAAATTGTTGAGGTTTCCAAAGTTAAAACGACTCAAATTTATAAATGTAATCAGCTACGACTACCTAAATACTAGTACAAAAGACTGCCCAATTTCTCTGAAATTATCATTCATTAAGAAAACCCAGAGAAGTTAAAACAAACCCCTAACATGGGTGTGGAGAGGCTTTCATGCACTGAGTATCTACCATTTGCATGACGTATGCCAGATTCGAGAATGTGCAGAGAAAAATGCAAGTTCCTCTACCCAAAAATTTAGTGAATGCGCCCCTGAAGGAGCTTCTTCCAGCAGTCTGACTTCCCACAGCTGGAGAAGGCTGTGGAATACTGCTGCCTCTCCAACAGACAGGAATAAAGCCAAGCGCAAGCATTACTTAAGTGAAACAAGAGGACTTCCCTGGTGGCGCAGTGGTTAAGATCCGCCTGCCGATGCAGGGGACACAGGTTCGAGCCCTGGTCCGGGAAGATCCCACATGCTGCGGAGCAACTAAGCCCGTGTGCCACAACTACTGAGCCTGAGCTCTAGAGCTCGCAGGCCACAACTACTGAAGCCCTCGCACTTAAAGCCCGTGCTCTGCTACAAGAGAAGCCACTGCAATGAGAAGCCAGTGCGCCGCAATGAAGAGAAGCCCCCGCTCGCCGCAACTAGAGAAAGCCTGCGCGCAGCAACGAAGACCCAATGCAGCCCAAAAAATTAATTAATTTTTTTAAAAAGCGAAACAAGAAATAATCCAGAACCACAGATACATTTCCACTTCTCCAGATCCTCCTGAGTAAACAATATTATGTGTATCTGAGATGAAAAGAAAAAACCTAAAATAACAATTGAGAATGTCTTTGCCTACTAGGGACTATTTAGTAAAAAGGCAAGATACTATTATCTCTGACTGACAGATGCTTATGTTTGGATCATATATATGCAGTTAGAAAAGAAAAAAAAGCAGACTAAAATCAGAAGATAATTGATACTCTTTTTTTTTTTTTTTTTTTTTGTGGTATGCGGGCCTCTCACTGTTGTGGCCTCTCCCGTTGAGGAGCACAGGCTCCGGACGCGCAGGCTCAGCGGCCATGGCTCACGGGCCCAGCTGCTCCGCGGCATGTGGGATCTTCCCGGACCGGGGCATGAACCCGCGTCCCCTGCATCGGCAGGCGGACTCCCAACCACTGCGCCACCAGGGAAGCCCGATACTCTTTTTTTTTAGAACAGATAATACACTAACTCAAACCTACAAGCCTATATACAGTGATTTATGTTATTAAACAATATATTTCATATAATCTATATTAGCTCATGAACATATGAAGTCACACACACATTCATATGTTCACTCAGCTTGCAAAAGGATTTAAATAGTTGCTTTGAACCACCTAAATACAAAAGAATCAAGTCTGAACTTAGCATTTTCAAAATACCTTCCTGTTAAAAAACCACACATAACTTATGATTCATTATCATATACTATATATGCATAAGAAAAAGAAAGTCAAGAAGGTCCCACATCAACACAACAGTGGTTTTTGCCTCTGAGTAGTAGGATGAGAGGTAATTCTTATTTCCTTCTTTTCGTAGATCTGTCTCCTAATTTTTTCCCACAATAAGCACATACTAATTGTATATAAAATGTTGAAAAACAGCCTCCAGGTTCTTAGAGCTTTATTTACAAAAATGGACAAAGTTATGGTATCCCATTTGCCACCATCAACATACTTACATAATATGGTTCTGCCTCCCGTTCAGTTATCTCATCCTGATAGAGGGTGAAGCAAGTTGGAATTCGTCCAAACCACACATCTCGAAGCACATCTTTGTCATCTGTCATTCTTCCAATGGTTAAAGCAGTACATATAGGCTAAATTCTTTTCCAGCCAAAGCCAAACTGAAAATAAAACAGAGTATTAGATCCTTGCAGGTATAAATGAACCTGCTCCAAAACAAAGAAAGATTATAGGAAAAAAAGAATGCATACAGATTATTCACTTCAAAAAACTCCGTGATGGGCATTCTTTAGAATGAATGCAAAAATCAGTACAACAAATTCTAAATGTGCACCTATTATTTATTTAAAGAGATCACGGAAGTAACCATTTCAAAATTACATATACAACTAATGAACCACAGCCAAAGTGAAATTATACTTGCATCATTCTCTCAAGCCCCAAAAGTCTATCTTTATCTACGCTTTATCTAAAGTGAACTCATCTATAACTTCTCTGTGTCTCAGTTTTCTCATCTGTAAAATGGGAATAACAGCACTGACCACATAAGATAGATATGAAAATTAAATTAATACATGTAGAACACTTAGAACAATGCCTATAACACAGTACTATAAAATGTATTGATCATCATAATTGATAAAACCAACCAGAGCATGTCTCAAAAAATGTTCAGAAGTCAAAGACTTTAAGAACTTAGAATAATCAAAAGCATTATTTAGTGTAAACTGGAATTATGAGAGTAAAGGAAAATAACTAAAAATTATACATTGAACACTGCTAATAACATTCAATAGAGAGTCAATAAACATTTGATCATCTGATATGTCCAGCTCTGTGGCAGGTGCTGAGGGCATACAAGATGATGATGATGATGGTGGTGATAACAACTTTTTTAAAACCTCAGGCATTGCCTAGAAGGTATTAGTTACAAATCTGCTAAACATACCATGCACTTTCATGTCCTTTGCATGGCTTTGCTCATGCCGGTGGTTCCTTACCCTGAAGTAGCCTTCCCCACCTCGCCTTCCAACTTACACATCATTCAGGACACTGCTCAAAATAGCCTTTCTTCTATGTATGAATCAGACAGAACCTCTGTTACCTCACTGTGCCTTTACTTTTCCTCTACTACAGCAGGATTTCCAATCTCATATTTTTTCCATCATACCATACTTACTGCCAAACATCCCTTCCAATTCCAAAATGTCCACGGTTATAACTAAATGTTACTTGTGAGAGCTTTCATAATGCAGGAGGGGAAGAAGTTAAATATTAACAGAACCTATAGTGTTCAGGGAAGAATCTTAAAAGATATTGAACTTGAAGAATGGGTAGAATATGGACAGACAAAAAGAAGACAAATATTCCAAGCAAGGCAAAATAGCATCAGCAAAGGCAGGAAGTGGCAGGCGCAGTATGTGTACCAACTTTTAAGGAAACTTTGTGTTGGGAGGAGTAGTAGATAATGAAACAGCTGAGCTGTGACACGTTTTACTATCATACCTGATCCTAGGTAAGTCACTTTACTTCACTAAGTCTAAATTTCCTTACCTGTAAAAGTCGCCAGGTTGTTCTAGAAAAAAAAAAAAGTCTATAAAGTATTTGACATGGTAATGGACACAGCATGTGCTGAGAAATAAAAGCAATTATTATTCTTTTAATGTCAAATTTGTAAATATAAAATGTAGCTGGATCATGAAGTACACCAAATAGAAAATTGTGGGTTTTCAATTTCATCCAACAAGCCTACAAAGGTTTTATAATGGTGAAACAAAAACAATTATCTGGTAGCAGTGCACAAAAGGGGATCCAAAGCCAGAGAGAGGCTAGCCAGGAAGCAATTTCAGCAACTAAGGCATATAATGAGTGCCTGACCTAGACTGGTAGCAGTGGATTGATGAGAGACAGGAGGGCTTTCCAAGGAAGAATGAATAGAAGTTGGTAAAAAGACTGGCTGAGGGACAAAGAACAAGGACAGAGAAGATTTAAATGCTTACAGCAGGCTATACAGTAAAGTAGTTAAGGGGTTTTGAAATCAGACTGACATGGGTTTCAACCCTGACTTCCACATATAAGCTGTATGTCCTTGGACAACAAACCTGACATCTCTAAACCTCGTATCTATAAACTGAAGATAATTCTAATTTCACAGGGTTGTTGGGTATTTAGCACCTAGTAACCAACCACTGGAAAAATGGTAAATGTATTTAATACATGGTTTCCCTGTGCTTCCATGGCCCCTCTGCTTGAATACCCTTTGCCCCTTCTCTTGGCCAACTCTTAATCCTCTTTTAAGAGTCAGCTTAACATTAACTCCTTGGGAAGCTTTCCACTAAGCACACTATAATCTAATTACTTCTGTTATTATATCTTTATTGTTATATGGTATAACAATGAATTGCAGCTGTGTATCTTATCTGTCTCTTGCCCCTCCCCACACTGACCTGTCAGTTCCTTGACAACAGAAACTGAGTCATATATACCTTTGTATCCAGGATGTTAGCATAATCAGCACATAATAGGCTCTGGAATTTTTGTTAAACTGGAAAATATATAAATAAATTAAATGTGTAAATCCAAAAGTTGTACTAGCTACTTAAACTTTTCCACCTAAACTCTTTCCTAAATATGTACAATCACACTTCATATTCAGCAAATTTCACTATTTTTCCCTCTCATACATATACTACGATATCAACACCATGCATCCAACTTGAAGGCAATGTTTTGGAAGAATAGAAATCCCAACCCATGATGCAGTCTACTAGAAGTAAGCTTCCTGAGGGCAGGGACTACCTCTTGACTGCTGTATTCTCAGCATCTAATTCATGGCCTGGAAAAGAGGCAGGTGCCCAACCAACAACACTCAGCAAACAGCACAGTGAGTATGATAAAAATATTGGGCTGGTCAAAAAGTTCGTTTGGGTTTTTCCATAACCTGTTACAGAAACCTGAATGAACTTTTTGGCCAACCCAATATAATGCACAATTAACAGTCCCTTTTACACTACAAACCAAGAAAGGCTAACCTATTACCTGAAGCTGTTTTGCTGACAAAATCCCCAACTACTCATAAATTACTTAAAATATCAAATACCTACTAGTAGTAGTAAATTTGTAAACATCTAAAAATATATATGCTGGCTGGTCTCCCTTTAAATTCATGAACACTGACCTCAGAAGTGGGCTCTGAGTATTGCCCAGTATTCTCATACTTCCCTAGTCCATTTATTCTTCCACTGTCCTAAATCAACTCCCCCTCCTCAAATTTTCACATCTCCTTCCTCACTCTCTCTCAGCTAATGACCTGGCTTTCTATTTCCTTCTATCTGGTTACTGAGGATCACTGGTTCTGAACAGGGGTTTTAAGGAACAGCCCCACCTCCACCCTGGGGGATAGTTCATAACTCCCTCCAATCTCCAAATGCTGAAGTGCCCCACGGTCCTTGAACCCTGCCTTTGGAGATCTCTCAGAGCTTTAAATATCACTTACACATTAACAATTCCCACATTTACATCTTCAGCCTAGACTTCTGAACTCCAGTTTCATATATACTACTGTATACTGAAATTTCATTTGAAAATTCATTTTTTAAACTGAAAATGATTGCAGATCTTCCTCCCTCCTCTCCCTATTACTCTGTGATCTTCCCCAAATCACTGAGTGGTAACTCCATTCTTTAGCTTCTCAGGCCATAAATCTGGGAGTCATCCATGACCCCTCTTCACACTTGATGGCTCTAGCTTAGATATAAATCTAGAATCTGGTCATTTCTCACCACCTCCACTCTTACCACACTGATCCAAGTCACCTTGACCTTTAACCCAGATAAATGCAATGGCCTACCAACAGAGGTCTCAACGTTTCTGCCCTTGCTGCAGAGAGACAACAAAGTAATCAGAAAAATCCTTTAAAACAGAAGTCAGATCAGTTCACTCCTTGACTCAAAACCCCACCATCTCATTCAAAGTAAAAACTAAAGTCTTACAAGGTGTTAGCAGGCCCTATATGACCCGACCCCACTCTGACCTGCTTATCTACTTCTCTCCGCAACTTGCTCCCCCAGTTCCAGCCAAACTCGCTGATGTGCTCCCGCCTCAGGGACTTTGTGGTTGCTCTGATGGCCCTCTCCACTACATCCACGGGCACCCTTCTTTATCACTATTAGGTCTCTGCTCAAATGTCATCTTTTCTAAGGCCACCACTATAATTTCCCATGCATGCTACCAGCACTCCCCATTCCCCTTCATTACTTATTTTTTCTCCATAGCACTTTTCACTACTTGACACATATTTTAATTAATTTTTAAATTAATGTCTCCCCCCTCAACCCTCAAAGTGAACTTCATGATGGCAGGGGTTTTTATTGTCTTCCTCACTGTTTACTGTTTTGTTTACTTTTTGTTCAGTGCCTGGCATATAAGTAGCACTTAGTATCTGTTAAATTAATAAAGTGAACCTACACTTGAAGCTTGTACCTTATTCTAAAAACTCTTAACCATATAGTACCATTCTGTTCACTTTCCCCAATTTTAATCAGCATACATTTGAGGATCAAAGCACCTACTTAAATCCAATATAAAATTCTAAAAGTTCCCTCCACTGCTACCCTCAGCCCAACATCTTTACTTTCAAATTCAAAATTCAACCAACAACTCCCTTTATGGAAAACACAAAATAAGTCCGTTCAGATCCAAGTACACACAGTCCCAAAGACTGAAATTTATCAAGTAAACTCCGGAAGGCCTTGGAAATTCAGTGCTGTTTGATAGCCTCTGGGTTCTGATTCTTGCTGAAAACATGCTGTGCCTCCCCATCCCTCAGAAAAATCTAGAACCAGTCCGCTTTCCCTAGGTTCCCCAAGTTCAGGTGTGACTTGAAAATAATCCAAACTATAAAGTATGTGAAAGTGCTCTGCCAAGGGAAAATGGCTTTGTTGGCACTAAATATTATTATTAAAATGAGACAATGAATGCGTCTGAGAAGATAAATTGGGGAGAAACCCCACCGATTTCGGATAGAATCGAACTTGCTGTAAAAATAACTATGATCTAAATAACTAACTATTCCACGAAAAATGGAGGTCCCGAACTAAACTCTAGAGCCTGCGACGAGACCCAAGCTTCCCACCTTAGTAAGGAACAGACGTATTCCCCGAAAGACCGCGCAGACTACACCCTCCAGCCGGCACTAGGGCTCCGAGGTCGGCGCTCGGCCAACGCCACCTCCCCTGGAGGAACCACCTTCACCCGCCACCACCGCCCGGGGGAGCGCTCCTCTCGCCGCACACGCCCCCCTCCTTCTTACCACACCTACCTAGCACTTCCCCAACCCTCTTCCTCCGGGCACTTCCTCACACTGGGGTGACAGACACACACATACCCTACCAGAAGCTCAGACTTCTCCTCCGCCTTCCTGCACCGGTGAGGACGCTCGGGTCTCGGGCTCTGGCTGGGCGGCGGCGGAGAGCGCCAGACACACAGACCCGCAGAGGTGCAGCGGTCTGGAGTCCCGCTGGCCCGCGCAGCCGCAGAAGGCACCAGCGTGGAGGTCGGAGTCGAACCCTGCTGCACTTCCGCCCTCCCGTATCCAGCGAAGACAGCCTGCAGCGCCGCGGAGCTCTGGAAGCCCACCGCAAGTGCAGTCACCCTCGGCGCCCGGAGATGACGTCACGGGGCCCCACGTGGCCCGCACTCCGCCCTCCCAGTTCGGCCCAACCCCGTGAGGAGGCTGGAGCCGCGCTTGAGCATGCGCGGACAGAGCAGACAGCGTGAATGTTCGGTCAAACCCCTGGCAAGTTCCCCGCTTCTACCCTCTTCCGAGAGTCCTGTGCTTTTGGCATAGTCATTGTTGTTTAGTGAGGTTAATATAACAGTTCCGTGAGAGCAGAGAGTTTTACAAATAATGAGTCACTGCGTCACTAGAGCTTCATCGCAGCATCCCTGTCCTGGCTTCACACAGTAAAATTAATAAAACGTTGGTTTTCAAAGTGTTTTCATATCTATTTTCTCATTTGATCTTCTCCACTTTGTCAGAGCCACAGAACGAATTAAGAGCCGCATTTAACAAAAGACTAAAATACTTGAATACTGAAGCCCAGCCATCCCTCCAATTGTAAGTACCTATGTCTTCCTGTTGGTGAAAATGACAAGCAATTAGTCAATTTACTCCTAAAAAGTGTTTGCATTAGGTCTATCCAGAAGTCTTAGCAGGCATTTAGCGTTTTTCTCTTCATTACACATGGCTTTCAACATAATGCTATGCATGCCAAGTGAATACTACTGTGCTGAGACTCGATAGGTTCCTGATAAGTGGGAAGACTAGGAAAATCCTAGTATTAGCCACAGGATCCTTTTTAAAGGAAGAATCTTCTAGGAATTCCCTGGCTGTCCAGTGGTTAGGACTCCACGCTTTCACTGCCTGAGGGCGTGGGTTCAATCCCTGGTCGGGGAACTAAGATCCCACAGGCCCGTGCAGCGCAGCCAAAAAAAAACAAAACAAAACTTATTGGAGGTTGTCTAGCCCAATGATTTTCCAGTGGTGAATCACAACTCATTGGTGAGTCATCAAATCAAGTTAGTGGGTCATGACTAGCAATTTTTAAGTTAAAAAAAAATAGAAAATATTGGCATGCTTCACACATACTAAAGGTAAATATTGTTTCCTGAAGTTTTTACTTTAGTATGTACATGGTTTACACTGTGTAGGAATGTGAAATACATTTCTTGATATGGGTAACAGTCAAAAAAAATTGAAAGCCACAGTCCAGTCCACTCCACTTACTTAATGCAGAAATCCTCTCTATAGCGTCCCCAACAGACAAACATTAGCCTCTGTAAAAAAGCTCTTGGGATAGTTGCCCCCACTTCCCAAAGGTAGGCAAAACTAAATGGAATTTACTCTGAAATGTATCGAAAAAATTAGGTGGATGGACGAATGGCTAGAGGGATGGATAGATGGATAAATATGTGATAATGCAAGTACAGTAAAATGTTAATGGTAGAATCTAGGTGGTGAGAATATGGGTGTTCACTGTAAAATTCTTTCAACTTTGCTGTTATGCTTGAAGTTTTTCCTAATAAAATGTTTGGGGAGGGGGCAGAGAAACGATTTATGGAGAACCCTAATGGGTAGAAAGTGATTATATTGAGCTAAAATCCAGCTTCTTGTAACCTTTAAAAATTGACCCTGTTTATTTCCTTCCTCCCCTTGTCCCTCCTCTACCCCACCCCCAACCTACAATAGAAATAGCTAACCCTTGTTCTAATAGACAGCACTTCAGCTATGAAAAGATATGCCTTATAACCCACTCAGGATAAACACTGTCAGTTCTTTCAGCCATTCTTCACATGACATATCTCTCCTCTGGATATGGTCCAGTTGTTGTACTCTTTCCCATCTCATGGTTGTGCTCCTTGAGCAAAAATTTGGAAATAAGAGGAATTCTATATTTGTTCTCCGTCATTTCCATTTGTTAACATTACGTCGTCTCTCTCAATCAGTTACCAAGAGTGACAGATATCCACTCTTCCCTTTAAAATGTTTCTTAAACTCTAAAAAAAGGGGAAAAAATGGTAACAGGTTTCAAAAATTTGGATTTCTGACTTATCCTGGAATCTGACAACCCTGGGACCACATTCCCACATGGCAACCAAGTGCTGGAGTGGAGCTGCAGCCTGCCCCCTTTTAGGCTGGGAATGCCCTCTCCAGTTTCTCACTGTCCCCACACTATCACTTATTTAGACTTTAGATTACCTATCTGGATGCTAAAGGCTTTGGAGCGTAACACTCCTCTATAGCTCTTCTTCTAGTTTCTAAGGCACTGCCTACCTCAGTTCTTTGCACGTAAATATTCATTTTGAACAAAAGACCAAAACAACTAGGCCAGAATGCATTATTCAAATGTGAATAACACACATTTGACTGTGATTGTGATCATATTTATAGTTCTAAGTTTTTACCTTTAGGCAATTCTAAGGACACACACTTGAAAGTTGGGAAAATATCATTATACAGTGTTCTCTCCTGTGAGGTGAGAGAGTATTTGGAGGATTCAAATACTATTTTGAGGCTTTCAAAGCTGAACAGTCATAGACATCCCATTTGTATCTATTTAATTGACATTCTAAAATGAATCCAGGAGCTGGATAGATAGACTCTTTTAGCTTCAGTGACAGCCTTTCATTCACTGTGACAAGTCTTCATTCAGTCATTTAAACATTTCTTGTGTTCACATAATTAGGTACTTGGTAAAGTGAAAATAAGTAACTCTTAAGTAACAACAAAGGAACCTCCCAAATTTCATTACATGAATATATATTTTAAAATCACAATTTGGAGCAGTTTTCTTATGACTACCATGTCAACTATATAATACCATATGTAATTCCAGCACTGCTACAGATAAAATGTGGGTTTTTGTTGAAAATATTGTGTTATAAGACTATGATTCCAGTTACTCAGTACTCTCTATCTACTTGCCTACATAGATTGTATAGGAGTGAATCAAAACAATATGCCAAATATTCTTTGGAAAAAATATATACATTCATAACTTGTATACATTTGTGTTTTAATTTTTGATGCCCCAAATTACTATTATTCTTAAAAAAATCTTTGAATTAGATTATTTGGCTGTTCCCATAGGAATATTTTCTATAAATAGCTCCTATTAAAAACTGGGAAAAATTAGTCAAGCAGCTTTTCAATCTGTTTTCTCAATGTGTGCAGAAGAAATATAGTCTGAGAAATATAAAACTGAAGGGAAAGTCTTAAAAAAAAATAAAACCCAACTGAACAACCTGATTCTTGAAACAGCAGAATAAATCCTTGCAATAATACGTTGCTGTCACCAGGTGTCACAATCAACCTGACACAAAGCTCAGAGCTCCCCAACCAGCAAGTCCAGTCAGTAGCACCCTCAGTGATGTAATAGACTGTTTCCCAATAGGAAAGTGCAAGTTATCTCAAGAGATTTTGTGAAATCCTAAAAAAGTTTTCACAACAAAATTATTTTAATTTGAAAAAAAAACAAAAAACAAACACTTTCTAAACCTTGTCAGTACTGACAAAATTTCCTTCAAGTCCATTCCCTTTCCTTCACCTGTGTTTGTTCTTCGATCATAAACTAGTGCAGTATAGCATAGCTGAGGATGTGCTTTTAAATCCCATATGCGACATCTATTATCTGTGTAGCCCCAGAAAAAAAATTATTTAACCAGTTCTGGCTACGTAATTCCACAGGGCCAGTGCAAAATGAAAATGAGGGCTCTTTGTTGAGGAAAGGAATTTGAAGATGGCGACAGCAGAGCATTAAATCAAGTGCTGTGCATACAATAGGTCACATGCCCAAGAACCTGACTCTTATGTAACTTCTCCCAGCCTCCATTTCTCCATTTTCCTCATGGTTAAATGAGGATAATGATAGCACCTGCTTCATAGACTCGTTCTGAAGGTGAGGGAGGATGATGCACATGAAACATTTACCACAGTGCTTGGTAAATGGTGAGCTCTCATTAAACAGGAGCTGTTGTTTTTATGTCCTTCATCAGGCTCTGTGCCTCCCTTCCCCTGCACCAACCCATTTTACTATCTTCTGCCAGAGTAATCTTCTTTAGCACAGTTCTAATTATGTCGCTGCCCTGTTTTTTACAAAAGCCAAACCCTCACTGCCTACAGAATAAAACCCAAATTTCTTGGACTAACCTAATCCAGTTTTCCAGCTTCATCACCCATCACTTGTCTGGCTCCCTGGTCTCTCTCTGACCTCTGCCTCACATCCTGCGTCTTTGCTGATGCTGTTCCTTCTGCTGGAAATGCCCTCTCCCCAGGACTGTAGGGGAAATACAAGAATAAGAGTCACAGTTCTGCCTTAGAGCTGTTTACAGTATAGACTGGGAAACAATATCACACAGAGATTCAGCAAGAACGCAAGACAAGGTGAAAAGAATGGTCAAGGAAAAAAATGTCTTAGAAGTTCAGAAGTAGAAGCCATGACTGAAATGGCACTTTTTAAAGCATTTCATTTCATAGTTTATTAATGGTTACTATGTTATGCACAGACTCTATGTTATATGTATCAAAACACAGAGCTCCATGGATTCTTTTTCAAAAATATAATTCATATCCCTCAGTTTTTAAATGCTAAACTTAAAAGCAGGGGCAATATATACTTTTAATTAATTATTTTTAGAGCAGTTTTAGGTTTACAGCAAAATTGAGCAGAAAGTCCGGAGTTCCCATATGCCATCGCCACACACACACAACTCCTTCCACTATCACATCCTGCAACGGTACGTTTGTTACAATTGATGAACCTACACTGACACATCTTTATCACCTGAAGTCCATATTTACATTATGGTTCACTCTTGAATTAGTCAGAGAGGCTAAACATGAGTTTAGTCAAATGTATAATGACAGGTATTCACCATTATAGTATCATACAGAGTTGTTTCGTTGCCTTAAAAACCCTCTGTGCCCTGTCTATTCATCCCTCCCTCCTCTGAACACTTGGCAACCACTGATCCTCTTATGTCTCCATAGTTTTGGGTTTTTGAGAATGTTGTATAGTTGAAATGATAAAGTATGAGGGCTTTTTAGATTGGTTTCTTTCAGTTAGTCATATGCAATTAAATTTTCTTCATGTCTTTTCAGGGTACAATGTTTTTTAAATAAAATTTTGAATGAAAGTCACATTTAATTATACAGAGTACTAATTTTTTACTTTAAAAAGTAGGTTTAGGGGGCTTCCCTGGTGGTGCAGTGGTTGAGAGTCCGCCTGCCGTTGCAGGGGACGCGGGTTCGTGCCCCGCTCCGGGAAGATCCCATATGCCGCGGAGCAGCTGGGCCCGTGAGCCACGGCCGCTGAGCCTGTGCTCTGCAACGGGAGAGGCCACAACAGTGAGAGGCCCACGTACCGCAAAAAAAAAAAAAAAAAAGTAGGTTTAGGACTTCCCTGGTGCCGCAGTGGTTAAGAAACCACCTGCCAATGCAGGGGACATGGGTTTGATCCCTGGTCCAGGAAGATCCCACATGCCGCAGAGCAACTAAGCCCGTGTGCCACAGTTACTACTGAGCCTGTGCTCTAGAGCCTGCGAGCCACAACTGCGCCTAGAGCCCATGCTCCACAACAAGAGAAGCCACCGCAATGAGAAGCCCACGCACTGCACCGAAGAGTAGCCCTGGTTCGCTGCAACTAGAGGAAAGCCCGCGGGCAGCAACGAAGACCCAACGCCACCATAAATAAATAAATAAATAAATAAATAATTTTAAAAAGAAGACCCAAAACATACACATAATTTAAAAAGTAAAAAAAAAAAAATGTATGTTTACCAGCAACTCTTGTGTTGGGGACCTTTCTGTGGGATAATTTGCCCACATACATTAAGTATCAGAATTGTCATCTCAGAGGTGGTATGTTCCTAAAGTCTCTCAATTTTAGGGACAAGCGGGATGGTTTAAAATACTGATTTTTTAAAAAATTCAGGTATTTAGTTTGCCTAAAAATAAAGTCTGTTGTGGAATAACTGCTGAATTTTTAAAAAGCCCATTGTGTAATCATTACTTTTTTCATTCGCCTCCCAGATCTGATGGCACAGTCAGTCCATACCTTTCTCCTTTATCTTTCTCCTTTAGTGGTATCGCTACTACACACATGCCATGGTTTACTTTTCATGTTTTCCTAAACACTACTACTGAAACGCTCTATAGCCATCACTGAGTTCCTAGGATCCATTTATTACCTTGGGCTTTATAGGACTGTCATGATTTAAGAGAATGAGAGAGAAGGGAAAGGTATAGGTATTTCAGGAAAGGAAAAAAGAATGATCAAAAGCAGGGATGAAACAGTCACGTTCATGCCTGGATGCTGTGAGTATATTTTATTCTGCAAATGTAAGATACTCTAGGTCAGGAGGTTAGACAATTCATCATACACACTACTTATCTAGTTAGTTAGTTAACATTTACAGAGCATACTATGTGCTGGGCATGATTCTATAACACTTTTCTAATATTCTAACCTCATACAATTTGGGAGGTCCTCTTTGGAAAGCACACATACAAAGAAATACAAAATTAGGTGGCCTTAGAAAGGACCCATGTAAGTGAAGAGACCTGAAAATTAAGCTTCACAGTAAACTCACCTCCATTTCCCATGACTGAGAGACTGAAGTGAAGAAGTAAGCTTCAGGCAGCCCAATTCTTCACCTCTCACAGGTATCCAAGACTGCTTCTTGTCCCATGATCTCCATTTCTCCCTAGAAGAGCTCGGTTATATTGCCATTAGAGCAAAGGGCAAAATTAAACAAGAAGCTTTCATGTTCTGCTTGCCACACATTTCTAGCCACCATTTATGCACTGATTTTATTCACTGCCTTATTCTAGGCAGATTTTCTAACATTCTTTTCATCTTTTCATCAAACTATAATATGAAATTTCTGTATTCCAGAAAGACGGATATGAATAAAGTATCCTTTTTTGCCCCCTCTCCACACTTTCCCAGCAATTTATAAAATGATTAGTGTTCTCACAGAACAGTGTGTTCATTCACTTAATAGGCTTTTATGTGCCAGGCTGTACCAGGTACTCAGGATACTAAGATGCATCAGAAATTAATTTCTTCCCTCAGGGAACTCACATTCCAGTTTGGCAGAGAACAGATAAGTAAACAAATGATTGCAATAGTCCCTAACTGGCTGTAATAGGGCTATGTACAACTGTTATGGGAACCTAGCTTTGAGAATCAGTAGAAACGTATAAAATAAATCTTAGAGGATAAATAGATACAACATGTGGACAAGGAAAGAAAGGGCTTTTAAGCTAGGGGCTCTTAACCAAGGGGTCCACGGTTCAAATTACGGAGCTTGAAGAATTTGGATGAGAAAATGAGTACGTCTTTATTTTCACTAACCTCCAGTTTGAAATTTAGCATTTTTTCCCATTATAAATATAGGGCACAAACTGGAGTAGTATTAGCAATACTTGTAACTTGTCACCAGTAGAAACATAGATATATTCAACATAGATATATTCATATTGCAGTTGACTCAGATTCTTGAAACATTATTTTACACATATTGCTACTTTGAAATTACAGTAGGAATTTGACTCACTGCGAGACCTTATTATTTATTGCATACTACATAACACAAATTTGTTTTCCTAACATTCTGATAATTGTATAGGAATATACAATTATCTCTTTGTAGTTATACATATGTCTATGTAATAATATGTATGTTTATGCATTTAAATATATTATTCTGAGAAGGGCTCCACAGACTTCAACAGACTAAGAGATTCATTGTGAAAAAAGAATAAAAGTAAGGTTAAGAATCGCTGTTCCAGGCAAAGGGAACAGAAGACACAGCAAGTTTGGGACTTCCCTGGTGGTGCAGTGGTTAAGAATCTGCCTGCCAATGCAGGAGACACGGGTTTGATCCCTGGTCCAGGAAGATCCCACATGCCGCAGAGCACCTAAGCCCATGCACCGCAACAACTGAGCCTGCGCTCTAGAGCCCGCGGGCCACAACTACTGAGCCCACGTGCCACAACTACTGAAGCCTGCGTGCCTAGAGCCTGGGCTCCGCAACAAGAGAAGCCACCACAATGAGAAGCCCGCGCGCCACAACAAAGAATAGCCCCCGCTCATCGCAACTAGAGAAAGCCCGCACACAGCAACAAAGACCCAACACAGCCAAAAAAAAAAAAAAGACACAGCAGGTTTAAAGATGAGGACTTGTTCAAGAATTCAGTCACCAGTGCTGCCTTTTCTTTCTCTTGGCTCTGAATTCTTCCCACTCCTTTTTCTGCCACTCCCCTAGTTTGGGACACCTGTCCATTTGGCCCTCTTCTAATCTATGTTCCACACTTCCCACTGTTGGGAATCCATATTCCCAAAGCTGATATTGTGTCACTGCTATCCTGGTTGAAGGGGATCAGGAGAGCCCAGCCTGCTTGGCCTTGGTATTGCCTCTGCAGGCAGAGGCAAGATCAAGGAGCCCTTGGGATCCCTCGGACAGATCTGGAAACCCCTGGCCTAAAAGAGCAAGTGTGGCTTTCAACACCCTCCGTGGGGCATTATTACCTCTCCATCCTTATCTTCTATCATATTCCCTGAGCTCTGTCCTCCAGCCTCACAGAAACACTTTTCACTTTTCATAAAGATCCTGCCCTCTGTCACCTCCGGGGGTATACAAGCTATTTTTTCTGCTCGGGACTCTACTTCTCACCACTCCTTTTTCCTGGTTAACCCCTACTTATCTGTTAGGTGTTAGTTTAGAGGTCTCTTCCTCTGGGAAGTCCTTCTACTCCCCACGAGAATGGCCCAAATATCTCTCCTATGTGTTGCCTTAACAGCCTGTATTTACCTCTTTTTTTTTCTACTGTATGTGGCATAAATATTTTGTTACACAAGTTACAAAAATACTTTCACATTTTGGTTGGTTTCAAAGTTTGAAAAGAATGATGGGCCACAGTAGGGGTGGGGTGCGATGTGGAGAGGTACGCAAAACGGGCAGAGAAAGGATTTTTTTTTTTTTTGGCTGCTTTGGGTCTTCGTTGCTGCACATGGGCTTTCTCTGGTTGCAGCAAGTGGGGGCTACTTTTCGATGCAGTGCGTGGGCTTCCTATTGCAGTGGCTTCTCTTGTTGCCAAGGCAGGGCTTTAGGCGGGGACTTCAGTAGTTGCAACACGCGGGCTTCAGTAGTTGTAGCACATGGGCTTAGTTGCTCTGCGGCATGTGGGATCTTCCTGGACCAGGGATCAAACCCATGTCCCCTGCATTGGCAGGGGGATTCTTAACCACTGGACCACCAGGGAAGTCCCGAGAAAGGATTTTATTAACGGCTGTTGGCCCATCTGAGGGGGAGGAAGCAGAGGACCCCGATTTGAAGTGACCAGGAAAATGCTCTGTCTTGGCTGGGTGGTCCTTCCTGTTGGGCGGAACTGGCTGCAGGGCTTGGTGCTCACTGAAGCAGGGTGGGTGCAGGGAGGGGTGTGGACAGAGGGGCTGGGAATGATGAACCATTCGTGGTCAGGACCTGTTGCTATGGTGACACAATGTGAGAACAAATGGTACACTCACATATACACAGGTTTAAGTGTCTTAATCCACGCCAGAAAACATGCAAAATTAAACGCGTCGTTTCTTTGAGATGGAGCTATGGAAGCACATTTGGACTGGAGATCAGGCCTCGCTCAGTCCCAGGGAGGCCTCTGAGCTGGGTCTGGGTGTCCCAGAGAGAAGGCCCCTGAATCCTGCCGTAAGCACCTTGACGAGGGGTTTTGGGGCAGGACAGGGCTGAGGAAGAGGAGAGAAAGGAAACAGGAAACATTGCACTGAGTCAGGCTTAAAATTCTCAGGCTTTGGAGGGAAGCAGCAGCTCTGCACAGGCTGCCTGGGGGCAGTGGAAGCTCAGGACGGCTTCCTCCTCAGTGGGGCGGGGGCCTCGAGCTGTGGTGACAAGACTGAAGAACTAACAGAACTGACAAGACTTCCAACCTTGCTGGGTGGTATCAGAGGAAGGGTACCAGCGCACCTCTGGACATCAGTTTCTTCATCCTGAAAATGGGAGAGCGCCACCTGACCTGCATCCTCTGAGCATGTAGGGCAGCGGCGGCAGCGGTAGTGGCAGCGGGGTAGGTGAGCGCGGCAGGTGAGGTGGCTGGGGTCAGCTCTGTGGTGTACAGAGGGAAGGGGGCCCAGGACCCTGGGTATGCGGGGATCAGAGGGGCCCCCATCAGCTCTGAGTGTGCTCCTAGGGAGGGGTGAGCGTTGGTGGGATTTGGCGTAGCCGTCAGCTTGTTCTTGGACGTCTTGGTGTTGGCTTTGGCACACTCTAGCCTCAGGGTCTGCGGGTTCTCAGGATCAAAGCGAATACCGTTCAACGCCTGCTGGGCGGCTTCTGCTCCTGTCCGGTCGTCAAAGGTCGTAAAACCAGCAGGCTGCCTCGATGTGAGCTTGATCGGGGACGCTTCATACCCCT